GGAGGAGGAGAGGGAGCAGGAGGAGGAGGAATGAGGATGAGGATGAGGAGGAGGAGGAGGAGGAGGAGGAGGAGGAGGAGGCGTGAGCAGAAGGAGGAGTTGCGCACATTGGAGGATGAGGAGAAGGTGGAGGTGGAGCAGGAGGAGGAGAAGGAGGAGGAAGAGGAGGAGGAGGAGGAGGAGGAGGAGGAGGAGGAGGAGGAGGAGGAGGGGGGGGAGGTGGCGGATGAGCAAGATGATAAAAAGGAGAAGGAGGATAATGAACAGTCGCACCAGGAGCAGGAGGACTTCGGGAAGGCGGAGGAAGGGAAATGACGGGGGCGACAACGACGAGCAAGGACTCGGATCCAGACGTGTGTCCCACCCCGAAGCGAGATCACCATCCAGAGCGACGGGAGCAAAGCGCCGTTCCTGAAAGGAGGCCAACGCTGCAGCGGGAACACCATTTTGAAAAACACAAGAACTTGGAGGCCGCTCGAGTTTCTGAACTTGCTGGGGGGCCCCGAAGCTGGCCAGGAGAGGGGGATGAAGCCAAGTTCCCTCAAAATCAGCCCCCGGACCCCTCCTGGGGTCCACCTGGTGAAACTGTTCACCCGGAACCGTTTTTCACGATCCTTGGGCCCGTGTGCGGCCCCCGGCAAGTGATATAGGCGAAAAGATTACCTCAACCCAAAACTCAGAACCTGCCCGCCTTTCCTGCTGGCGGGAACTAGTGCTGGGCCACCTCAAACCCCAGACGGGACCAAAGAAAGACGTTCCAGACGGGCGTGGGCCCCAAACCGTGTGTTGTGGCATTATAGACTGTGCAATGTATGTGCTGCATGATGTTGTGATATATCTGTGTATTTATATAGGCATACATGTATAGATTGTGTATTTCTTATGTTGCGCAATACAGGTGGAGCCACATATGTTGTGCCATCCACGCGGAACAATAGGTTGTGCTATATTTATTCTCTGTGGCGCAATGTGTGTGGCGCTTTTTAGGTCAATGCTGTATATATTGTGCAGTCAGCAGTATGTAACCAATGGGGTGCAAACAAAGTGGTGCAATCTGCGTGGTGCAATATATAGTGTGCAATGTATTTCTGTTCGCGTTGAGTTGTCCACTCCACTGCTCGCGCAATCATCCCACCCCCACCACCCGCAACTTGGTTTGCAAAACCCATGCGACGGCGACTGCGATGAGTGCTCCAGATCCGCGGTGCGACTTGAAATTGTGTCCGTAATGCACCCCAAACGATACGAAACAACACAAATTAAATGTTCACACCTCCGAAATGGAGGCGGGCATTTCCGCAAAAGTATGGTGGAAACAGCGACGGCAAAGTATGGCGGAAATCTACATCAGAAGAGCTTGAAAAGCAGGGCGAATATTTACGCCCTACTCACGAAATCGCCCAGAAATTAAAGCGGATCTAAATTCAGGGGGGTGCCGGCACGCCACGCGATGTGACCGCGGGGACGCAGGATGAAAACAAGGAAAAGCAACACCAGCAACAACACCAAGGACCACGAGCGGGAGGAGACAGGGGGATGTCCCCCTGGTGGTGTGGTCCCCCCCGCTCGCTCGAGACATCCCATATCCCCAGCTCGGGGAGACATCGTGGACCTCCTCGCTGGATGTGGCCCCCCTGGTGGTGGCGGTGTCGCTTGGACGCAGCCAGTGGGTCTGAGCTGGGTTGGGGCCCGAGAACATCGGTCAAGAAGGGGCGTTATGGGCCAATCCGCTCAGAATCAGTACCCGGACCCCTCCGAGGGTCCATCTGGTACAGTTTTTCACCCCGGATCCGTTTCTGACGGTCCCCCCCCGAACCCCAGCACCTCGTAACCCTCTTCCCCCTGTTCCTGCTCACCCGAACCATGGCTGGCCCACTTCAGACCCCGAACAAGCTCCGAGGTGTCGGTCCTGCTCCTCCTCCTCCTCCTCCTCCTCCTCCTCCTCCTCCTCCTCCTCCTCCTCCATCCCTCTGCCTTGCAAATAACTCCTCCCTGTCGCGCCCAGGGACGGCTCAGAAGGGCGGGCCAGGCGTTTCGCCTGAGATGTCCTCACCTTCTTTGATCCTGGAGCTTGAAGTTCGCACGAGTTTCACAAATGGGGGGCGGCTGATTTTCAACATGTGGCGCTCGCCTTAGCAGCACGCACCTTCGTCTTAAAAGTTTGCAGCACCTTCACGGATGGAGGGCGTGTGGTTTTCAAAATGTGGTTCTCGCCTTCGCACGGCGCGCAGTCATTCTTAAATGTTGGAAGAGCTTCTCAGATGGAGGGCGGGTGCGATCTTTAAAATATGGCTCTTGCAGCCGCGTGACGCACATTCGTCTATAAAAGTGTAAAGCCTTTTTTCGAAATGTGGGTCTCGCTTTAGCACCGCGCACATTCGTCTTGAAAGTTCGGAAGAGTTTCCAGGATTCCCATGGCTGGCGTCCGAGAAATTGTGTTTTGGCACGGTATCAGATCGTCAAGGCGCGACACTCTCATTGATTCGCGACGCTGGCGTCCCAGAAATTGTGTTCAGTCGAAATCTAGTATCGTCAGGTCGCAACAGTAACGTTGATTCGCGGCGCTGGAGTCCTAGAAATATTGTTTGGCATGACTGGAAATGTTCAAGCGGTTCTCTTCCAACGGGGCTCTTCCCGCAGTGGACATAGATCCTCCTAGGAGCCTGTGATGAGAGGTAGTTTTGAGGGAGGGCTCCTTGCAACATCGTTGATGAGTCTCGGGTTTGCACTGGTCCTCTTCCTCCTCCTCCTCCTCCCCCTCCTCCTCCTCCTCCTGTTATTCTTCCTCCTCCTCCTCCTCCTCCTCCTCCTCCTCCTCCTCCTCCTCCTCCTGCGCACTCCCCTAGAAGACGAGGTGTCCGCGGTGGCCACAGCAGTGCCGCGTGCAGGAGGAAACGCAAGAGACAAAGGGTAGCAGGCGCGGGCGGGCCTCCTCGCCGCCGACGGCGGCGCTCCCGACCGACCCCCCGCAGGGGCCCCCCTCCCGCCCCGCGGAGCGGCCCTCGGGGAGCCGAAACCTTCTCGCGTCGTGGAAAAAAACGACAAGGGAGCTTTTTCGTCATTTTCGGCCTCCTGGGGGCCCTTCCCGGGCCTCGGGACCGTCATAAAACGACTAAGGATGAAAAACCGGTCATGGGGAAAGTGTCCAGACCTCTGGGGGTCGACGTTGTGAAACAAAAATACAGCGTCGGGGGTCTGGGGACATGGGTACGGAAAGAATGGGCACGAAGACCAAGCGCATGTCTTTCGATTTGAACAGGACTCGCTGTCGGTGTCGCCGCGGGCGTTGGCGATTTGAGACAGAAGGTCGCCTGCCCAACAGCGGCCGCTGTCGGTTGTGAACAGCATTTGCTGTTGGGTATCGGGGGTCTGGGAGGCTTCTCCTCCCTGCGGCCCGGGCCAGGGGCTGCGGCCCACAGGCCAGCAAGGGGGCGCCAGAGCAGCGGCCGCGGCGGCGGCGGCGGCGGCCCCCCTGGTGGTGGCTGCGGGCCCCAGGGATGTACACCACCACCACCACCACCACCACGTCGATTCATCCTCCCTCCTCTGCCCTCCTCTGCCCTCCTCTGCCCTCCTCCCTCCTCTGCCCTCCTCTGTCGATTCCTCCTCTCTCCTCTGCCCTCTTCTTCCTCCCCTCTCTCTCCTGGGAGAGGAGGGGGCGAGGAGGTGGTGCAGTGGTGGTGGTGGTGGTGTCTGTGCCTGGGCCCCGTGGTGGTGCCGCTCCTCCTCCCCCCGGGCGGGCGGGGCCCGAGGGCACCTGCGCGCGCGCGCGGGCGCCCCGGGGGGCGGAGGCGCCGAGGCCCGGGCTCCCCGGCCTCGCGCTCCCGGAGCGCCGCCTCGGCCGCCAGCTCGGCCTGAGAGGTGAGGCTTCCTTTGCGATCCACCCGTGTAGAAAGAAGGCGCGATGCCCAGGCCCTCTCGATCAGTGGAAAAATCACGACGCACAGTTTTTCCGTATTTTCGGCCTCCGGGGGCCCTTCCCTGGCCTCGGGACCCTCAAAAACAACTCAGGACGAAAAACTGGTCCCATGCAGGGAAGAGGTCGAGATCTCTGGAGGTCGATGTCATGAAAAAAATTAAGCTCGACGTCATGGAAAAATCTGAATGCCAGGGGTCTGGGTGAGGATGCAAGGTTCTTAGACGCCCATTTCGAAGCTTCTCGAGCGGGGCGCGGCCAGCGAGTGGCCAAGGAGGGGCCGAGGAGGCAAGGGATGCGAGGGTACCCTTGGGAAGGCTGCCGATCCTTCCCGTGCGGGTCGACTGTAGAGAGGTCTCCCAGATGGGGCCCGAGCAGATAGGGCCAGGGCCCCGAACCAGCAGGGCCAGGGGCGGTCAGGGACAGCTGCAGCTTTGCGCCTCGGGGGCCCAGACCAGAGATAGCCCGGACCGCACTTCTCCCAGACCACTCGGGCGTCCAGCCCTTCCGAATTGCCAGGGCTGGGGACAGTCAGGTGTACCTATACAGATTCACGCCTCGGGGGCCCAAAGCGGAGTCCCCCCGGACAGCAGGTGTCCCCGATAAGTTGGGCGTCCAATAGGGTCGAAGGACTGCCCCGCATCGCCATCGCCAATGCATCGATCGCCGATGCATCGGCAATGCGGCGCGATCCTCCGACCCCATCTGCTCCGATCCCATCTGGGAGGCCTGGACCCTCGCGTGATCTAGCGACGACGAGATTTTTCCCCAGCTTCCCAACTGGCGATCAGGAAGGGGGCTCCTCAGAGGTCCGAGGCTCTCGGCTCGGGAAGGTCTTCTGCCTCTTTCGGCCTCCGGGCCCGTTTTTCCTGGGCCCCGGGATCTGGTGAAACACAAACGAGGGGGAAACACCGCATCAGGAGCTCCCCGAGAGAGGGGCCCAGGGACCGAGCGTGACCAGAGCTGGCCCCATCCCCCCTCCCGACAACTCTTCTGGGGCCCCGGTGAGTTCAGACCCCCCCAGCCGCCCCCAAACTCCACCATGCGGAGGAGGAGGAGGAAGAGGAGGAGGAGGAGGAGGAGGAGGAGGAGAAGGAGGGCAGGAGGAGGAGGAGGAGGAGGAGGAGGAGGAGGAGGAGGAGGAGGAGCAGGAGGAGCAGGAGGAGGAGTGTTTTTGTTTGTTCGGCAGCGCCGGCCGTCGCAGGCGCGTCTGAGCAGAGCCGGCGGGCCGCGCCGAGCACGGGGCGCAGCAGAGCGGGGGGAGCCAGAAGCAGAGGGCGGCCGCGGAGGTGGACAAGGGGGTTAGGGCAGGGGCCCGGCCACAGGAGAGCTTCCACGGGAAAGCCCAGCCCTGGAATCCCAGGGCGTCCATGGAGTCTGCAGGTGCGAGGGCGTCGCGCTGACCATCGCCGAGCCATCGAAGCCCAAGAAACCCCCAGGGGCACCCTGGAGGCAAGCACAGGGTGCCTCCTGGCATGGGTCTCCACTGGACGCGACGGGCCAGGCCGTCGAGAAGCGACGGAGGGCGGGCGCGCGCAGGCGGCCCCGCACCAGAAGCACCATGTGCCAGGACACGTGGGCGACGATGCCACGGCGAGGAGGAGGAGGAGGAGGAGGAGAAGAAGGAGGAGGAGGAGAAGGAACACGCAACTCGCTGCATCCTCCTTCTCCTCCACTGGCCCTACCTTACGCGCGCGATGCCACAGCGACCTTACGCCGCGGCTCACGCGTGCCGCCGGCGCAGCACGCCGCATTGGAAGAGAGGGCTCTTAACGCGCGACCTTGCGCGGGCAGCTTGCGCGCGAATGTCGGCGCAGACGGCCCCGTTCTTCTGCGTCGCCCCTGTGTTCGAGAAGAGCTCACCGTCAAGGAAAACTAGCATAAACACAAACTTTCGGCGCTCCGCGCGGATCTCTTGGATCTGCGCTGGACGCCCCTCCCTAGCGCGCCTCGCGCCAGGGGCAGCGCCAGAGGCACCGCCAGGGGGGCCCAGCGCGGACCCAAGAAATTCGCGCGGAGCGCCAAACATTTATGTTTATGCCTTTTTCTTCTTCTTCTTCTTCTTGTTCTTCCTCCTCTTCTTCTTCTTCTTCTTCGATTTTCCCATTCTTGCTGCCCGACAGTTCGCGATGCCGTCACCCGGATGGCCCGAGCGCGCGTGCGGGCTGCCCCCGCCGCGCTGCGACGTGAGCCTTGCTCGGGAAACGCTGGCCTCATCCGCCACGGGCAGCGCGAGGCGAGCCTGAGGCCCCCGCGGTCGCCTCTCGGCGCGTGCTGCTGAGGAAGCGTGGCACGCGACGAAGGAGCACAGGGCAAGAGAACGCGGACAACGCCAGCCCCCCTTGCTTCCCCCCTTTCTGTCAGTCAGGTCGAGCTGAGAAGGGCCAACTCAACCTGACAGAGGGGGGTGGGGTCCCAGACCCCAGACATCAGGACTTTTTCATAACGTCAACCCCAGAGGTCTCGACCCCTTCCCCGGGACCGGTTTTCGTCCTGAGTCCATTTCTGGCGCTTCCGAGGGCCGGTAAGGGCCTCCGGAGGCCAAAATAGCGAAACGTCTTCCGTCGTGACTTTTTCGTGACTCGAGGGGGACTCGGGTCCCGGCCCAGATCTGCGACGACTGTTCCAGTCCCGGCGTCTGTCCCTGACCTCGGCCCCACGAAGGCCTCAGTGCGGCCGCTCCTGGGCTCTACAGGGGCCAGCCGAGCTGGATGCAGGACGCAGGCGTCTGCCCCCGCGGGGGAAGGGCCAGGGAGCTCTGGGCCGCGGAGTTCGGACATAACACAGTCGGGGCCTTGACCTAAGGAACCCTTAAGAAGGAACGAGGCCCCATTTTCCTATCAGCTTCGATTTCCTATGGAAATTCTCAGGAAAACCTGGGAGAAACTGTAATCAATCAAGGAACACCGAGCCCCCCCCCAACGAAAAGGGTTCCTTCTTCAGCCCCCCGACTGCACGCCCGAAACAGTGGTCAAGAAGATGATCATCTATGGAACCTGCGCCAGCTTCCCGGATGTTTCCTAAAATAATTTGTTCCGTCAGCGGCGAGGCAGGGAAGCTGCTCCAGCGGAGGGCGACTTGAGCCGACCGACAGGCGAAGTGGCCGGCGTGCACGAGGAATAAGGAGGTAGCGCCCGGGGTTGCTAAAAGGTGCTCCTGGCCCAAGGTGCCCCCAGCTGTTCGCTCCATTTTGGAGCCCCTGGGGCCCTCTGGGCCTCGTGAGGGACGCTCTGAAGGCCGTGAGGGCCTCCTTGAAAATCCTGAGGACACCTTGGGGCAAGGAAACTTCTAGCAAAGGGGGCGACCGCGACGCACCGCAGATATAGATTCCCGTGCAAGCTGCAAGGCAGGCAGCAAACTGTACGCCAGAGCCACCCCAGTCGGGCTCGACAGAGGCAGCCCGACAAGTGGAGCAGGAGAGGAGAAGGAAAACGCCAACTTTTGGTTGCAAGCGTTGCTCGCGGAAGGGGAGGTCTGAGGTGTGCGGTGAGCGTCGTCGTTCTTGTCGAAGGTCCCCGGATGTTCTTCTACCATTTCTGGGCATTGTGGTACGGCCTAGTATTTGTGGCTATCTTAATGTGGTGACTGCGTGGACAAGGCTCATGGACACAAGTCTTCTCGGCTGCTGTGAACCTGGAGCTGAACGAATACTACGAAAGCGGTGCTGGCACAGCGCGTCCAGTCAGCATCGGAGCTTCGCATTACTCGATCTTGGATTGCACTTGAGACCTACTACGAAACGTTTGACACACCAGCTGATTCGGGCTGAAGTGAATATGTACAAGCATTCCCATGTCGCAACTCATGTGCTGCTGGGCCAAAGCCCATGGTGCCGCGGCACAGTTTTCGGTACGCGCATCATGCGCGTGAGCCTTGCTGAGCGGAACCTCCGCACGGAAGTCAGTCTCAACGAAAGAAACATCCATACATAAAGCCCAACAGCGATGCACAAAAGACTCCAGGACCCCTGTCTTCCCCAGGACCCCATCTCTTCATGCTGATCGCGTCGGCTCTTCTCGGGGGCGTCCAAGAGGGAGGCGTCCAAGGGGGAGGTCAGCGAATCATGGCTAGAGGCATGTGCGCGGACGGAGGGGGAGCCAGGGAACCTTTGGAAGAAGAAGAGAAACCCGTGGAGGCATCATTGGGGCATCATTGGGGGTCCCAAAACCGTGTGTTGACGGACCGCGTGATGACCTCGAACTCCCAAGACTGTGCGGTCCGTCACCGCACGGTCTTGGGACCTCGGAGGCCCCGGCCGCCCGAGTCGCCACGGAGCGAAAACGAGGCAGGGGGCAGCGGTATAACCCCCTTTCCTCCATGACCCTGATCACCAGGCGCCCTTCTGGCCTCCTTGGCGGCGCGCACAGGGGAGCAGGCAGGGAGGGGGGAAGGCTTCTTGGAGGGAGGCTGCTTCTTAGAAGGCCCCAGCCTTACATCTATACATTGGCCCGCGACTTCTGGGAAGCAGCCTCCTTCTGAGAAGCCTTCCCCCCTCCCCCTGCCCCCCTCTGCGGGTGGACGGCCTCCCCCGACTTCTTTCATGCCGACCTCCTCGCCAGGGCAGCGCAACGCGCAGCCCGCGAGCACCCCGCTCTCCCCGCCCCAGGGCGGATCGGCCCGCCTGCTCCGCGCCCCGGAGTCCGTCCGACACCGAGGACGCCAGCTCGTCCGCCTCTGATCGCGCAGCCGCCTCCTCGCACGCGGGGGCGCTGCCATCTGCCCTGGGAAAGCAATGCAACTCTCATCGTCGATTAGTCTGTTTTCGTCGCTTTCTCGGCTTTTCGTAATTAGTTGACCTATGAGCCTGGTCAGAAACGGACCCGGGATGAAAGACTACCCCAAAGCGGAGATGCCTGAGATAGTGGCGGTTCTGGAGACTGTGTCGGGCGCCGCGGCCGTTCCGGAGCGCTTCGAATCCTCCGGAATCAGTTACCCCTAGGTTCGTGCGGCGTCGGCGCGCGCACAGGCTTTTGACACCGCGTCGATCGGCCAACCTTCAATCGATCGCGACCTCGATCGCTCAAGGCTGAACTCCAGTCGGGTCCGGTGGTGTTGCCGCGTCCCTCGGTGCTTCCGCGTCGCAGCATTCAGCCTCGAACGCCGTCGCCGGCGTCGCCGCCGCGCCCACGCCGCATGAGCCAACCTAGCGTATCCTGGTCGTGCCCCCCGCCCGACCCCGCCCCTCTTCTCCGACCCTGCTCCCTGGAGGAAGCAGGGCCTGGAGGAAGAGGTAGGAGGGGGAAGGGAGTGGCGGGGGGATGGGACAAGCCGCCGAGAAGGCAAAGGAAAGAGCGACAGGGGGAGGGGAGCAGGGAGAGAAGGAAGGAGGAGAGGAGGAGGAGGAGGAGGAGGCGGAGGAGGAGGAAGGGGGGGCAGGAGGTTTCAGAGAACGGGGAAGATGATGATGATAATGATGATGATGATGATGATGATGATGATGATGATGATGAGGAGGAGGAGGAGGAGGAGGAGGAGGAGGAGGAGGAGAAGGAGAAGGAAAGGTGTGGAAGCGAGGAGACGGAAGGGGATATGTATGTATGTAAATGTATACATGTCTCTCTCTCTCTCTCTCTCATATATATATATATATGTGTGTATATATATGCACATACCGCTCCTACCTTGACACATGTTCATATGTATATAAATATATATATGTATACATAGTTACATATGGACGAGGTTTGCCTCGCCTCGTCTGCCTCCTGCTCCCTCCCACCCTTTCCGACCTGCCCTTCTCCCTGATCCCGCCCCCCCTCCCTGCCATTCCCCTCCTCCCCAGACCCCCGCGAGTCAAGGTTCTTCTGACTTTTGGCCTCTGGGGGCCCTTGTTGGGCCTCGGGACCGCCAAAAACGACCCAGGACGAAACACCGGTCCCAGGGAAGGGGTCGAGACCTCTGGGGGTCGACGTCATTGAACAAATCATGACGTCGGGCGTCTGGGCTCGTCTCCCCCCCCCCCCCGCCCCCCCTCCGCCAGCCCTCCCGGAAGAACTCCCCAGATCTCCGACGTCGCGGTTTGGCCGCCAGGGGCCCCCCAGAGATCGAAACCCCTTCCCCGGGACCGGTTCTCCTTCCAGGAGGGAGGGGGGCCTCGACGGCCCTGCGTTCCTGCAAGGGCTCCTGGAGGCCGAAGAGGCACCAAAAACGTGCCACCCGGAACGGCACCAACGTAAACTTCTGGAGATCCGCGCAGCATTCCTGGATCTGAAGTGGACCCCCCTCCCTGGCGCGCGGAGCGCGTCAGGGCGCCTTAGGCGCCGCCAGGGGGTCCAGCGCGGATCCAAGAAGTCTGCGCGGAGCGCCAAAAGAAGAGTCTGTTCTGGGTGGCCCAGGCTTCCCCGCGTCGTGCAGGCAAGAAGACGGCAAAGTTTTGGTACCTCTTCGGCCTCCAGGAGCCCTCGCAGGATCCCAGGGCCGTCGAAGCCCCCCAGCACCAAAAAATTATGTTTATGCCACCCGGAACGGACTCTTACAGCCCCCCGCCGATGACCACCAACATTATCCGAGCGAAGGGCCCAACCATATGCAATTGTGAGTAACGCAGTGGTAAGCACCGTCATCGGTGGAGCTCCCTATGGGGCCACGAACTGTGTGAGGGGTGCGCCGAAATGGGGGTGGAACTGCATGCGAACTCTGCCACTGGGGCCTTCGGTGGAGCTCCCTGTGGGGCCACGAATCGTGTGAGGGGTGCACCGAAACAGCTACATGCGGAGGGCAGAGGCACAGAAGCGGAGGACGAGGAGGAAGGAGGAGGAGGAGGAGGGGGAGGAGGAGGGGGAGAAGGAGGGTGAGAAGGAGGATGAGGAGGAGAAGGAGGAGGAGCAGATGGAGGACGAGGACGAGGAGGAGGAGAAATGAAGCAGGAGGAGGAATGAAGGAGGAGGAGGAGGAGGAGGAGGAGGAGGAGGAAGGACCCAACACCACAGGATGGTTGGGAAAAACGGCCGCCGCTTCCTGGTGCGCGGAGCCCTCCGCGAGGGCCAGCGCCTCGCGCTCCGCTCCGGTGCGCCTGCGTCGGGCGCGGGGGCCGCCGCTGGCCCCGCGGCCTCCCATGCCCCAGATCCCCTGGAGTCACGAGAAAAGGTCACTAACAAAAAGATCCTCCTCCTCCTCCTCCTCCTCCTCCTCCTCCTCCTCCTCCTCCTCCTCCTCGTCCTCCACCTCCTCCTCGTCCTCCTCCTTCTCCGCCTCCGGGTTGACCCAAAAGTGGGTCCAGCGACAAGGGGGTGATGCAATAGATGTTGTGCAATGGATTTGTTGGGTTGCAATATGTATATATATATATATATGTATATAGATACATACGTATGTGTATATATATATATACACATATATATATGTGGGGCGGGCAATACATTCAGGGGCGCAAGCGTATTGCGGTTTTCCCGTGCATTACACGAGTTGCAATGCAATGCAATACAATTCTCTGGCGCAATACACTTGCAATACACTTGCCCCCAACCTATTGCACCACCACCTTTCAGCTGGACGCCAGTTTGGGTCGCAGCGACTCCTCCTCCTCCTCCTCCTCCTCCTCCTCCTCCTACTCCTCCTTCTATTCCTCCTCCTCCTCCCTGCCTCCCTGCCTCCCTCCCTCCCAAGTGGTCATCCCCCCGCCCTCGAGTCATGAACAAATTAACGCCGGAAAGTTATGCGCTGTTTTCAGCCTCGGGGGGCCCTTGTTGGGCCTCGGGGCCGTCAAAAACGGCTCAGGACGAACAATCGGTCCTGGGGAAGGGGTGCAGACCTCTGGGGGTCGACGTTAAGAACAAAAACCATGACGTCGGGGGTATGGGGTCGGGTCCTCGCGGCCAGCCTGACCCCCTGACCCACCGATCGCAAGAAAAGCATCCTGACGTAGCTATCCCCCCCCAGGGCCAGTCAGCCCTGGGGAGGTTGATCGAAATAGGAGCCAGGTGAAGATCATCGCTGGCTGAAAACGCGAAAGAGAAAATGGTCAAAGGTAGACGACATCAGACAAATAGGAAATAGGAGGCGGAAAGGGAGGGGGGAAAGGAATGCAAACCTCGAGGAGGAAGGAGAGGGGGAAGAGGTGGTGATGCGGCGGCAAGCAGTGCGGGAAAGGTAGCTGCGTGGCCTGCATCGTGGCCGTTCGAGCCACGGTGGAATGCGCAAGGGTTTCCCCCCCTGTCCTTCGGAATCCCCCACAGGCGTCCACCAGACGCCACATCGTATAGGGCAATGGATAGCCCTATATGCGGAAGGTCTAGAAGGCTCAATAGCCCAGGCACGTACACATTGCCCAATACGCCTGCTTGCAGGCGTCTAGGCCGCTGGGGAAATGTACACAAATACAAATATGTTGTTTTTGTTTTGTTCTCTCTCTCTCTCTCTCTCTCCTTCCCTCTGAGGTGGCGCGTCTCCTCTTCAGAGCAGGGCATTATCCTCAGAGGCTCGATTCGGGGAGTTCGAGCTCGACGCTTATTTGTAAGCCCTGCTGCACTGTGCACCTCCCGTATCCGCATCGGATCCCATCAACGACCCTAGCCCAGTGTCGCGCCGCAAGCAATTCGGGCGTGCATAGAGGAAGGAAAGACGGCATGAAGATAAACTATTGGCGCTCCGCGCTGATTTCTTGGATCTGCGCTGGACCCCCTCCCTGGCGCGCGGAGCGCGCTAGGGGCAGCGCTGGAGGCGCCGCCAGGGAGCCACAACACGGATC